TTGTTGTTGTTTTCGTTTTTTGAGACAGGGTCTCACTATGTAGTTCAGGCTGGCTCTGTGGCCCAAACTGACTTTGAACTCATAGGGATCCTCCTGCCTCGACCTCCTCAGGGCTGGGATTACAGGTGTGCACCACCATACCAGACAGTATTTTTTTTTTAAAGGAAAAAAAATATTTTGGCATCATCAAAGAAAACTATAAAGAATTTGTTATGAAAGGAACAAAAATGTACAGATTCTACTACCTCATCCCTCAAAATTGTGTAAACACTTGCAAAATTTTCCTTCATCTATTACTATTACTAAGTACCAGAGCAGCCAGCCCACACAGACCTGGGGGCATTTACACTTCAGAATATTCCATAATGATCTGGGAGCACATATTTTTGGGAGAAATGTTTAATGTTCAGGGAAAGATTGCCCACAAAATAATCCAGGGTACTGCATTTAGTCAGGAACCCCTTGGAAAGACAAATGCTAGTGCCATACTTTATAATATTCTTGGCAGCATTCAAGTCATGTATGACATTATGAACTCTTAAGTGATGCAGGTATTCTTCCTTTTTTTTATTTTCATATTTTTTTTTCCTGAACAGATGGCAAATTATGAGGGAGAAGTAAAAATATAGAGAAGATCCAAAACTGCCCCATATCACTTTAAAGTTCTGTTTTCATAGTAAAAATCCTAAAACCAACATAGAAATCTGTTTGGCTGGACACTCCGCTCTTTGAAATAACAATGAAAGTTGGGTACAGTGTTACATGCCTGTAGTTTCAATTACTGGGGAGGCTGAGGCAGGAAAACTACTTAAGCTCAGCAGTTTGGGGCTTGCTTGAATGACATAGTGACCTTATCTAAATTTTTTTTTTTTTAAAAAGTAGCATGGTTTGAAGAAAAAGGGAATCGAAGACACAAAGACCCTAGTTTAAAATTTATCTTTTCTAGCTTTTTATTTTAGGCAAGTCGCAATTTTTTGGAATCTCAATGCCTTTGCTACTAAAATGGGTCTAATAATGCTTACATCTCAAGGTTAGTCCTAGCACTAGAAGAGATAATATATTTAAGTACCTAGCACAATGCTCTTCCAAACAAAGCTCCTTCACAGTTTTTCCAAAAAGACACTGAAAATATTTTTAAAGTTTGACATAAGCCAAAAGAATTGGCTGGCGGCGGGGGGGGGGGCGGGCAGACGAAAATGGCAAGAGACTATAAAGCTGGTATTATCCAATCTTTCCATTAACTATGTGGTTAATGCTCAATAAACAATGGTTTTATTAGTATTATTCTGAAACCACATTATTATCTGAATAGATCCTTTCCCTTGCAAGTAGGCTTTTTATTTTGTCGTCAAGTGATTTAGCAAACAAATTAATCCTTTTATTCATACTGTTATGTCCGGGGTGGACAGCTTGCCAGGCCATGTCTTGCCGCGGCACTGCTCTGCTGAAAATGCAGCTCTGAGATCCTAAACCCAGTGGCAACAGCAAAGAACTAAAAAAGGCAAAGTTTTGGATAACCAAAGATGGTTTATTTGGGGAAAAAAGATGGAAAAGAAAGAGGACAGATAGCTACTGTGAGATGGTAGGGGGCTTCAGAGCTGAAAGCCGACAATCCCTGGCTCCTTTCATTGGGGACTATTGTCTTGCCCATCCCCAGGTGGGCACTTGTTGCTCTCCATCAGTTCCCTTGGCTGTCTTTGATCTTCTGGCCATTTGGCCTTTTGGTTCCTTTCTGTCCCTTTGTAAAGAGTAAGCAAAGGGGGAGGCTCTATTAGGAAGGCAGCTTGCTTACTGATTCAGTAAAGGGACATGTTCACGTGAGTATATGGTATAATATTATTACTGGTGTTAAAGTGAGAACATTCATACATGTGCATCTGTAGGTGTGTATGTGTGTGTCTTACATATTAGATAAGACTCCTTAGGTGGTTTGCGTTTTGTCAGGTGGGTGAGGGGTGCTGGTTTTCCTGCTAATTGTGTTGCCTGGCACCTCTCCCAAGTCTAGCTAGCTTTCCCCTCCTATGTCTTTCTAGTTACCCTAACTGCAGAGTCTATCCGTGAGGGCAGAAACTGCTTTTAGTAAGTTTCCTTATTGATCTTAATAAAGCTCAATGAAGCCTTTATCCTTTTTTTTTGGTAATGGGAAACAAACTCAGGACCTTGTGCTTACCAGGCAGGTGCTGTGCCACTGAGTTATATCCTCAGCCCTGAAGCCTTTATCCTATCTTTCCCTACCTACAGGACCTCCTGCCCCTACAATACCATAACATAGTGTAAAGTGTTAGGAAGATCAAGCCCTTGTAAAACCCAGGTAAGAATCAGTTCTAATGTATACCCAGCCCCAAAAAAGTGATGGAAAAGCAATGCAAAGTTAAACAATTTGTCTCTCAAGGCTGTTGAGTATAATTCTGTCTCTTATTAGTGTCATCCCACATGAATTCTAAGAGTAAGCAAGCCTCTGAAACTGTAGAGTGGGCAGCACAGAAATAGCCCTTGGAAGGCTTTAGAGAGAGGATCTTAACATGGAATTTGTAGGCTTATTCAGGGAGTTCTGGAACTTGCAAGCCGTGTATTGGGCTTGTGAAGTTGTGTCTGAGAGCATTTCATGTCTTTTTTCATCAGGAGGTTGCTCAACTATCACTTCCTCCCTGTTTTTTCTAGCCATTTTATTTAAACAGAGGCCTTGCCCACAAAATTTTTCTTCTCACCATGTTTCCTGAAGAGCCTTACTAGAACCTTTTTTAATTTTCTTCAATTTATCATCTGCACTAGAAGACAGGTCCTTCCTGATACCTTGAATCTGGTGGCCTAGACAGATATTTCTGGAAAGAATGACAGGTCCACACCTATGAGATTCTTTTTTTTTGCGGGGATAGGGTCAGTCTATGTTGCATAGTCTGACCTGGAACTGCTGAGCTCAGCCTCCTGAGTAGCTGCAGATAAAGGCATGCATCATCACGACCCCCTGTCAAATTTTTAAGACTCGAAACTCCTTTTTTTCCAAAACTTGACCTTTTATTTACACATGGATAGTTCAAAACAAGTCATCAGTAGCTTTTCTTTAATGTAAGGAGGATCCACATAAAAGAAATCTTGGGCTTAAAGGAAACCTGTCACTGGTGCCTGGTCGTAGGACTCATATTCCCATAGAAGAGAAAGTGCGCATCCTTAAAGAGAGCTATGAAAAGAGGAATATTTGTACGGGTGCGCTATTCTCAGGCTTACAGTGATGTGGAGAACGTGTCACGGTGCTAGGTACAGGGTGACGGGACAGTGATCACTGCAAAGGGCCTTGGAACGGATCTTGCTGCCACACAGCGCAGGTAAAAGCCAATGGAACAACAAAAAGTAATCCAGGAGCCAGCCTACATTTTTGGCCTTTCTGGTCAAAAGGCGCAGACCAGTACTGATGGGATAGTCCAGGCAGCTCTCGAAGCTCAGCTGGGGAAACTCCTTTAGGCCCCCCGCCCCCCCGCCCCGCATCATTCTCAGCAACTCATTTTAAGGGTCCAATATTCATTTTGGAAATACGGTTCGTAGCGATGAGCCAACGCCCACCCTCGCACACTCGGGTCCTAGTCAGAGCGCCGCTGGGGCCCACTTACCCAAACCCACGCCGCCGATGGTTTAGAGGCGACCAGAACAGGTGCAGCAGCGACCTGGCTCACGCATCGGCGCTCACTGCGGCCCGGGAGGCGCTAGGCCGGCTCGAGGGTCCCGCTGAGCCGCCCTCACAGCCGTCCTGGGCCTCCGCCCCATCGGCGCTCCGGCTCCGCCTCGGCGGCGGCCGCGCTCCGGCGCCCTCTTTTCCCTTCTGCGCGGTCCCGGCTGCTCATACTGTCGCAATAGGGGGGCAGGCACGGAGCTGCCCAGGGCATCTCTCTGGGGGTGCCTCGCGCGGCCGAGCTCCGGGCCGGCCGCTCCCGCTACAAGTGCTTCCGGGTGAGCGGGTCGTCG